TCCTCATGTATTCCAATCAGTAATACACACATTTTTATACCTGAATTTCTTTATAAAATTCCTAAAAATATTGAGTAAAATCGGCTACTGTAAACAGGAAAACTATCCGTTAAAGTGACTCAACAATTAATGTAAACATTATTAATTTGGGTAGAAGTAAGCTCTATACCCAAGAAAAAGGTATGATACTATGGGCCAACAACTAGCGTATAGACTTAATTGTTATAGATACTCGATTTTATTTGGTTTTGATCTCCGTCATGTAGCCTAATCTAATGTTACAGGTTTTTGAGTAACAAAAAAGACCGTCGTGAACGCATACAGGCGCAATATTGGTCATATCAACATAATATCAAAAAAAGCAGAGGTATATCATTACATTCGAAGTACCCTGTAATCCTATGTTGTGGAGCTATATCAGCTATATTTGATAGTAGTAAAAACTACGGAAGCACCTAAGTGCCATTCGACTTGACATGTCAAGATAATTTATGTTGTCAAGTCGACATAATACATATCATGTCGACATGGCGAGATAGATTATCTTGACAAGTCGTCATAGTAAAAATTGTATGTTGTCATGGCGAGATAGATTATACTGACAAGTCGACATAATACATATTGCATGTTCATGGCGAGATAGATTATCTTGGCATGTTGTCATGGCGAGATAGATTATCTTGACAAGTCGACATAATATAAGTTGTATGTTGTCATGGCAAGATAGGTTATCTTGACAAGTCGACATAATAAAAATTGTATGTTCTCATGGCGAGATAGATTATCTTGACAAGTCGACATAGTAAAAAGTGTATGTTGTCATGGCGAAATAGATTATCTTGAGAAGTCGACATAGTAAAAATTGTATGTTGTCATGGCGAGATAGATTATCTTGACAATTTGTCAAGATAACCAATGTTGGTAAATAATTAGAATATAATTTACGCCCATTATTTATTAGTGCAGTGTTCCGGGGTGTGTTCTTCAGAATGATTAATACAGATGAGACCTATTAAACGCTTATCCTAGGCCACCATATTAAGCAACTATGATAGACCCTACTATCAACATACAAAATATATTATGATAAAGAAGTAAGCCTAATGGAGTTAGTCGTGAACACTGTTAGTCTTAATAAAAGCACATCAATATTGCTTTAATTCAATAACTAATAACGACAGATGTACAGAACATAAAGTGTCTAGTGAGGCAAAGTGTGATATACCCATATATTGGCATGATAATGTCATATTACATCCCAAATATGGGCATATCACTTTTATTTGTCATAAAATTTGATAGTGTGGAAGATAGAACTAAGAAATGGGTTTGTTGTATTGCAATAGTGTATCCAAGTGACCTTATGAGTTTGGCTTGTTGCCTTTCACTCACATGTTTTGAATAGATCTAAAACGAATAATGTATCAATAATATAATTTCTTAAAATATTATTTATCACCTGTTATATATTTTTTCTTCACAATAAAAAAGATATGATATTATGTATACGGTACGATTAACATAATGATTAAGGTAAGGAATTATTATTGAATTGCTAGAGGTCCGACTGCCATGATTTTGCATGCACGAAACGAAAAACCAAAGAGTATAAAACTGCAAGAGGTCCGACAATATGGAACGCCGTTACTGCCTTTGGTGGCTCTTTTCCGTTCGGCGCATTTGCTATTCGGCCCTTTTAACATTACGTTCGCTGCTTTTACATTACGTTCGGTGCTTTTTAAATTACGTTCGGTGCTTTTTACATTACGTTCGGTGCTTTTAACATTACGTTCGGTGATTTTAACATTACGTTCGATGCTTTTAACATTACGTTCGGTGCTTTTAACATTACGTTCGGTGCTTTTGCCGCACTTCGGCTCTTTTATCATTTGGTGCTTTTACCTTTCGGCCCTTTCATCATTACGTACGGTTGACATCGGGTCAAGTGGAAAAAAATCAACGGCTGTGGGAATGAGCCTAGTGGAAAATCGCGCGTAACAAAGCATATTCGACATGTGATTATGTTAGTGATAAAATAATAATAACTAACGAAAACAAAAATGTCTCGATCAATCAAAACAGTATTAGAAGACCTGGATCTACATTTTCTTGTCCCTAAGTTTGAAAGGGAAAGGGTACGTTCTAGTTTTTTTTCCACATGATTTTGATGGTATATTAGGGCAAATAGAAATATAAGATTATCACTATAGACCTAGTATTGAAAAAAAAAATAACTAGGGGGGACTCTTCTTTATTCCGGATATGAAGAAGCAGGCTTGTTTAAACAAAAGACACGTAATTAATTAATTAATTAATTACCGGTAACCAAACGATTCCAAAAGCACCGAACGTAATGTGAAAAGTACCGAACGTAATGTAAAAGCACCGAACGTAATGTTAAAAGGGCCGAATAGCAAATGCGCCGAACGGAGAAGAGCCACCAAAGGCAGTAACGGCGTTCCATACGACTGCCCTTATTTCAGGCAATGGAACGTTAAAAAGTACTCCCACGAAGGGGCGTGTCCTTCATAAGAACGTAAAAGGCGTTCGCATCGAACGCGTGCTGCGTTTCGAATTCCAGCATACATTCTATAGACGCGCAGCACGCGTTCGATATGAATGCGCTTTACGTTCTTTTAAAGGCCACGCCCCTTTTGGGTAGTACATTTTGAAATAGGGTTGCGTTTCAAAGAATCCCAGCCAGTCGGACCTCTTGCAGTTTCATATTCTCATACACGATAGGGGGCGCCTTATTATGCAGATTTGAATATAGCAGTGGTTCCCAAATTTCTTGCATTCGTGGAACCCTCGCGACATCAAAGTCATGTACATTTGTTACTCAGTGTTCATATTCCCAACAAAAAAAATTGAAGGCAGAAGACAATTCGCCACGAAAGCAGGGAGAGAACCACAATTCCTCAGGGAGAAAAAAATGTGTATCGTAATATTTTTTACATATTATAAGACCCAAAATCGATTAAATAAGCCTTCAAACTCTCTAATTTGTCGTCGGGGGCTTCGCCCCCATGGAGATTCAGAGCGACGCCTGACCACGACCACTTTTTTTTCGTCGGAGGAGATCGGAAATCAGGGATAATTTTCTTCTTCTTCCTTATTTTTTTTTTTTTAGGGTGACTTGTAAGATTATCGATAAAAGATAATTCGCCACAAAAACAACGGCATTAAAAAGCGGCGGATTTTGGATGATTGGCAGTAAGATGTATGTCATACTATTGGAAGACAAGAAAAATAATTTAATAAAACTGGTCTAAAAATCGAGGGAACCCTCAATTTTTTTTGCGACCTCCTACACACCCTTTTGATTGGGCGGACCTCAATTATTTTTCGCGGACCCTGGGTTGGGAGCCACTGCGTTCTAAAGACCATTATTATTGTAGTTCGTTTCGATGTGGGATTGCGTTTTAACGAAACCCCCAAAGTCGGACATCTTGCAGTTCTATACTCTTTGGGGTAGGCCCTTAGCATATAATTAAGGGTTAATATAATTATCCAAAGAAATAAATGTGGTAGAGAAAGTTTTTGGATTACCTTGTGTGTAAATAATCGGGTTTTTTTGAAATATATGTGGTCTTCAACTCAAATAGTACTTTTATATATACATTATTATTTAATATTATCATTATTGGTATTTTCATCGACATGGCTAAAAGCATTCGATGCAATTAACCATTGAATACAAACATCTAAAAAAGGGTTATTATAGAAGACAATACTCCGGATTGTCACAATAAGGTACCGGTAATCATTTCTTTACTACCTTGACAAGCTGTTATACAAAATTAACAATTATACCCATTGATTTTTTAAAAGAGATATTTAGGACTTGGACCTCAATAATTTAAATTACCCTCAAATTTACACCCTTAACCTTGGATCGTCCCCTACACATAATACAGTACTTTCTTCATTGTAACTTGGTTAAACTTTGCCGAAAGCTTCATGCAGTTGACCGGTTTTTGAAATATTTGTTGTTGACTGTTTGCCCTAAGTCACTTTAATTTGTCCTCTCATGCACACCCCACCCTAGATTGACACCAGATATTAGGAGGCACATCCTTGATGGTCTATGCTTCGGCAAAGCATGAAAAGTTTCAAGCATAGGGAGTGACCAAAGTGCAGGCCAGAAAAAAAAAACAGTGCAAAAAGATGGGGAATCAACACATTGGATTGGATTGGATTTATACGGTGTAAACACCAAGGATAGCCCACGAAAGTTTAGAAGAAAACTTATTTCCAGTGTGGGCTCCTTCTGGTGGTGCTTTGGCAGTACACCGGGAGACAATCTCCAACTCTTCCGAAAATAAATGCACACGAGACCAACAGCTTATAAACGTCTCATTCGAAATGCGCTATTGTAACTTGTATTTCGACTCTGAAACACAAGGAGAGGCAGCGATGGGAATTGAATCAGGTACCAGAGATCTCCACGGTTCAGCACACACACACTGGCTACCACCAGATTAGCCGACTGAGCTAAGCTGCTCTCTCAACATGGTTGCATGACCATTGACCCTACAAATTTGACCGACTGGATGACGGCCCCGTGGACACTTAATATTAATTATGAAATTTATACCAGTATATAGATAGACATATCATCATTGTAAGTTCGTTTCTTAACTCCTTCATTAGGTCAAAGTTCAAATCACAAATAAGTCGGTATTTGTGACTTGACCTATGATATGCAGAATACATTAAAATCTGTCTATTTAAAAAAAACTCGGTTCACACATAAGAGTGATATCTGTGTATCGGTATAAATTTCATAATTTCGT